AATTTTCAAGTATTTTGATAGGGCCATAAAAATTTTATCGATACTTCAAAAAAATTTTTTCAGAAAAATCAAAAATTTCAGTGGTTTAGAAATAACTCAAGAAAAGTCGAAGATTTTTGAAAATTGAACTGTATATAGATATCACTAACATTAACATTTGGTGTAAATTTCAAGTATTTACAGTGATTAGTTTTTGAATTACAACCATATAAAAATATCGATTTGGTCAAAAACTGGTTTTGCGTAAAAATTCCCGTTTTTCTGTCATTTTTTTTTTGTTTTCTCGATTTTTTTGAAAACTGTTGGAAAATGTTTACTTTTGACTAGTTATGCTGTACACAGACACACACAAAAAAAAAAAAACACATCATTGTAAAATCAATACATTCATCACTTCGTTCAGAATCTAAAAATTTAGATGTTAATGTTAGCCAATAACTTTAGTTGTTGAGGCTTAAATAAATAAAAAAAAAAAATTCATAGTAATAGTACTCGATTTTTAAATACAGTAGTGTAATTTACGTATACCTTTAATATCATATCTATTTGTTTTAGAGAGCGCAAAAATGCATGATGTTATGATGCTTAAAATGTTCATGTAAATACTTTGATACGTATAATATGTTTTTAATAGAATAATTTAAAAATAAGAATTTTTATTTTATATGAATTAATAAGTAAGTGTCATATTGAAATTCTATTGACCAAAATAATAAAGTGATAAGAGTTCACTGTATAAAATAAAGTAAAGATTAATTATCTATGAAAAAYCATGTGTTAATAAACATGTGAAAAGACTTAAGATTTTATAATTTTGATTTATATTTAAATACATTGTTAAAGTAAATATTATATTTTTGTACAAACTAAACCTGAATATATTAAAATTTTATATTTTACATCAAATAAGTATAATATTATACTGATAAGAAATAAAATTTAAAAAAKATACATTTATTTTATAGATTTGTTTTTATTTGATTTTTCCTATCTTTTTATTGGCTGGCCGTGAGGTTAGGAGGTTATGAGACTTGTTAAATTTTTTTTTTCTGATTTAAATATTATGAATTTTACCATTGTAACATATTTAATAATACATAATTAGCTATTCATATTTTGTAAGCCCAATGGCCTATGCTGCCGAGGGCTCTTTCCTAATAATAATAATAAAAAAAAAAAAAATACATAATTAATACTTCATATTATTTTATGCTATATTGATGTTTATTATATGAAAAGATATTTGAACATATTTGAACAATAATTGTAATAATAAAATATAAATTATATTATTGTGATTTGTGTACAATTATGCTGTTCGTCAAATTGACGAGTYACTGAATATTGATAAAACAAGTTGAGATTGTTTACTAAACTGTATTTTTTACACGCAAAAAAAAAATAATAATAATGGATGTTATGTTTGCGATTATGAATTTGTAAACGGTATATTTTCTGAAAGTATTGTTTGGATCCAATTAAACTGTAATCCCTGACTCAATAAAAAAAATTATAAAATAGGTTTTTATATTCATTAAAAAACATCGGCAAAATATGTAAAATATGTAAAATATGTGTTATATATATTTAATCATATTTTAAATTCAATATTATTATCTATTTTTGTCAGGAGCAAAGGAGAATACAAAAAATTAATATAAAACCAAGGACTGCTTTTTCGTGATTATATAGTACCTATGTAATATTCTTGTTCGTATTTAACTCCACTGTCAATTCTAAGTCAAGCATTTTTATGCATTTTATACATTTATGTATTTAAATATTAATATTGTAATATCGTTTTGGTTGTATAATTTTTCAATTACTCCACAAATCGCAAACACTCTCACTTATAGAAGTAACTACGAGAAATAAACGCGTGTATTTACTGTTAAATTGGATGAAAAGATAATTATGTACAAGACACCAAAATCACAGAACTGATTACCACTGATTTCGGAGCGAGCAGGTCCGACTATAGYCCGACTAAGAATCGTGATAAATATCGTATACTTGCGATGCACAACAACAACATTGTTTATCGGATCGTGTCGACTACGTATTAATTTACATGTTTGGTATCGTCGTGAAAGTGACATATATTATTAAAAGTCATTTTTATGCACATTAAATGTATTTATTTTATTGATTCACTATTTCAATTTTACACCGATTTCAGATGACAAATAATTTTGACACGACAAACCGTTCGGATTTTACGTGGCCTTTTCTGGCGGAGAGACAGCGGATTTTTGATTGGGATCGATACGAATTTAAAGCCGAAGCGGAACATCCACATTTTCCGGTACCACAGACATTTTGTAACGTAGAGACACTCAAGACGATACCGTACTCACAAAGGTTGCCTTTCGATTTCGATTGCCACCCGAAACCCATTTTGAGTAGCCAGAAACCTATCAGTCACTACCCCTCCGAGGTATGCAAGACATAATATTATTATTGAGAAACGTATCTGTCAGATAAGTTACTCAACTGGAATGCTGCACTGACTGCCACAGTCGTATAATTGTTTAATATAGGTAGGTACGCGCTGACATMAAATTCCGTGTTTAACTATTAATTGACAACTTTGGTTATTCAACGCCACCGACACGGCTTGGTTTAATATCTCATTATTCTCCTGTTTTAGCTATTATAGTATCCCAGCAGACACCCATAAAGCACTCACAACTATACCTTTTTGTCCATCTATCTATTTATTTATCTAAGATACACAATCTAATCACATTTTTTTTTTTTAGGTTTTTTTACTTATCATTATATTAAAGAATACAGCTTATTGGGCTTCTTTCATATGTGTATCAGCTCTTTTCTTTCTTTTATGAGTGTGAGTTCTCTCCTAATATATATGTAGTTTTCTTCTAATAGGTTACATATTTAAATATTTTACTTTTAAATAAGTAAACGATACGTAGACATTTTCTCTCTTATKTATTATTTATTTTAACCATAATTATGTGACTTTACACTATTCCTATTAGTTCTTAATTATAATTAATTTCAAGTTCGTTAAATTATGATTTGAGAATGTATGATTATATGTATAATTTTTTGTTAAATTAATTAATTTAAATTTTAATAAAAATTCTCGCAATAATCATAATTAATATTAATTATTGTTGTAATTAGTACGAGAAATAGTAATCACAGACCAGTTTTGAATAAGATGATCGACATTTTGTTATACAATATAGGTTTAATGATTTACCATTCTTATATTTCGATCATTATTAACACTAGTATAATATTATATGAGTGTATATTTTAACATAGAGTTAAATTAAGTTCAATATACTGTAATAAAATATATATTATAAAAAATAACTTTAGTAACGAAAATTTTGTTGGTAATGGATTTAATTTTTAATTTTTTGTCTTACATTACAGAATCACAACTTAAAATCTATGAAAATTTAAGCAAAAAATATTGGTTACACATATTGTAATACCTACCGATGGATATTTTCTCTTTTTTCATGAGACAAGCATTAGGTATCTTAAATTCGTTTTGAATAAGCGATCAAATGTTAAATGTCGATACTTTTATCTACAATTTAAAAAAAGTTATAAATTACGATTATTTTTTTAAAAACTAATGGATAAATAGAGATAAAGTTTTGTTTTRATTTTTTTTTWAAAATATATGACGAACCCATTTAGGTTCAATTACAGAGTTATAGTCTACAGATTTAGGAGTTGAATGATTTCGTCGCGTGAGACATACAGATAAAACCAGATATATCGTGTGGTTTAAGGCCATTTATGATATTATATCCTTCGAAACACTTTGGTCAAAGTGCTGCCACTGCTGCATCTACTATGATTACATTTTTATTGAGTTTGAACGTATATTATTTCAAGGGAATCGAATTCACTTCGAATTATTAACTTTTAGGTTTCATTTACTGTATTTCTCTTGTTATTTTAAATTAACACAACCGTAAATAAACACCACAGAGTTTCGATTGGTTTGTAATAAATAATATCAATTTTATCGAATTTTACAGATAATTTATTGTAGATTAATTATATTAAGCCACGAAAAGTGAAATATCCGACCTAAGAAAGTTATTAAATAAGTATTTATAGGTCTTCCGGAGTATCAAAATCCCTAAATTTAGTTCTCCATACTCCATCCATGATTATTATATATTTGCTTATAGTACCTTAAGGTACTCTAAATAATAATATTTTCAGAAATTTTACTGTATAGAACAGTTTTGTGTATTTATGTATCAATTATTTGTGGATGAGACGTACAACTTTCTAGAATCAAATAGGTATGGTGTGTTAAATTTCTGATGGAAAATGTTATTTATGAAAAATTGAATTTTTGATAAAATTAAACAATCCAAAAGTATATGATTTTCATACGTTACTTCAATATTRAACTACACAATATTATTCTTTAATTTTTGGTGAATTCATGTAATCTATTATGATTTGCAACCCTAATTTTGATTGACTGGTACGTTTCATTCCAAGTATATATTTCATATGCAAACTGATCATAACGGAAACAGAGAATTTTTTTATGCATAAAGCAACTTTTTTTAAAATTCTTTTCGTTTCTTTATGAAATATAATCGGTCACCCGCGAAACACACACACACAACTACACAAGACACCCGCACGATTCTGAATAATTGACGTTTCACCAGTTCAGTTGCTATATTAAAAGAAACGTAGTTCACAAAACCTTCTTGATTGTCTGCGATCAAAAGGATAGCTTTGATCTGTACACCACACATGGGAAAAATATTAATATTATTTTTCATCATGCAATGACTATTCATTCTATGTTATCACAAGCAATGTTCCTTATAATGATAATGTAGATTACCAATGTAGAACCATCTTTYTCTTTTTGATAACTATTTATTCATAGCTCGGTAGGTTCTTTATCTTGTACATTTTCTTATTTGTTATTAATTAATTATTTAAAGCTATAATTCATACGTTAATACTTAATACATTATAATATTATGTAAATGTTATTGAGCTTCCAGTCAGTATTATTAATAAAAAATATAAAAAATATAATACGTAAAAATAAACACATTTTAGTTACATTTTTACATCTACTACATTGTATATGCATTTAAATACGTTTTTGTGATATATTTTATTATAAAATGATAGTAGGTAGAATACCGTTTCTATCAATGTGCTTTACTACATAGTTATTTATTCTTGGGCCAACCACACTATTATGCGGTGTTGTACGAACTTATATATATGCGAATATACTCGTATATAGGTATATATGTACGACTTTTACGTATAGGAGAAAATCGGCCCGAACTCAAAACGCATAAAAGGTCGTATGTGTAATGCGTTTATAAAATATAATATATTCTTATGTATACGTTGTAAATGGTAGGTAGTCTATACATTTGCATCGTTTTACAGAAAGTGATTGAGTACGATAAAGATAGAGCAGATGCAAGATCGAATATCCTGAGGACGAGACCCAGAGTTTTCAAGTGTCCTCAAATCAGTCTCGATGATGTATCGGCCGACAGGCGGGACATGGTGTGCACCTTCGTGTACAGCACTTCAAAAACAATGAGTGAACTAACTTCTGGCGTGCCGGAGGGTCGTCCGATTCCCGTCGACRAACCATCAAAACCATTCACGGACCCGGTAAAATAATTACGTTTTTTCCCCTTCGTGGCTTCGTGTCCACAATAAAATGAATATTAATTATTATGATTTACGTCACCATGCGTGTTGGCAATAATTAATCGACACTGCATGTTAAGTAAATATATACGTTATATGTACCTATACTATATACTACAAGTAACGGCACAGATTCATAATACATATTGTGTGTATTATATCCATATAACGGTCGTTTAGCTCGTACATTGGTCCAGTGGTGGTCATCACGGTAATATCGGATATGTTAGACCTTAAAGTAAAAAATCTGCCCATGCGCCGTTTGCAGCATTACCATCACACCACAGCTATAATGAAATATTTAATATATCTAATGTTATATTTATATATTATCGGATGAAATAGCTGTTCAGTGTTCGTCAACCTTCTAATGGAACTTGCGTTATAGCCACGGCGGGTTTAATCAAATCGACTAACTCTCAGCAAAACGCACAGAAATAATTTCATCTCTCTCCATGTTTCCCCACTTCTCATCATATACATTTTAAATTATTATAATGATAAAAATTTAGAATGCATTGGAATTTAAAACTAAAAATAATAAGGTCGGTTGCTTTTATTATAAATCAAAAGTTAGTTTTAAAATGTGTATACTGAAGAGAAGGAATATTTTTTTCCTATAGTATGATAAATGTGCACGTTATAATATATTACGTTAAATATTATATTTATATAATTATATGTAGTACGTGCCTAACGTATAAAATAATAGGAACAATTTGCAAATATCTATGTAATTGTTTATTTTCTTGTCTTGCACAAATTATTGAAAACTATTATCTGCAGTATAATTCAATAACACGATTCACGATTAAACGTTTATTAAATATGTGATGTTTTTTTTTTTTTTTAATTAATTTACTTATAAATAATAATGTTTATAGTATAGTATTGAGTATATAACAAGTGATAATAATCTAGTTTCATATAAATGTATAATATTTTTTATATAACAGGATGTTTGAATTCATCTATAGTTCTAAATTGCAATTTTCAATTTATTTTAACAAATAAATTAAATATCGTGTGTATATTATATTTATGCAAAACATTTTGTTTGTTGTGTGTTAAGGGGAAATTCCAAAAACAGCCATTATACAAGACCATAAATCCTGCAAAAAATTGGCGACGTGTCAGCATTGAATGGGATGAAACGCAGAGACGCATTTTCGGTGGCCGGTCTATAAACTGATATCCACATTAAATTATAGTTAAATTGCTTATGCTTTATTGAAAGGTGGTATATTTATTTTATAAATTTTATACGGTTTAGATTTTATAAACACGTAAAAATACAAACAACTAAGTATGATTTTCTATTTATGATAGTACTATAAAGAACTTATTTATGAAAAATAATGATAAAAATAATTGTTTATTATTATTATATAATGAAACCTTTCTTTACGAACACCTATTATAAATAGTAGACATTTAAAAAAAGTCGATGTTTTTTAAAGAAAAATCTACATCTTTTCTATGACCGAACCTTCTGAATACCAGACATCTCCTCCAATTGGTGGACTGGTGGACAAAATTCAGTGACCGAAATTATCCGGGATTTAAAGCCTTAAAGATTTTACTGTATCTACTATCTATTACACATAATATTAAAAATGACACTTTACAATGAATATATGCCGAATAACTAATCTTTAGTAGTATTATAATTATTACATAGTCTCAAGACAATCCTTTTTTTAAAATAATATTATAAGTAATTTACAATCTATACAACATATTATTATGTACAATGAGAAAATTTGATAATTAATGGTAAGTGACGGGAGAATTTAACATTTGTGGGCAGGTATTCAGCAGCACCACCCAGCCGAGTACATTTTTAGTATCGTGTGTGTTTTTTTTACGTTAGTATGTCTCTAGATCACTGGCTTTTCAGTCTTCTACATACACTATCAGGAAGTGAGGTGGAAGRAAGTTGATTTATTAATGAGTTACTGTGAGAGTTCAAGTTGGTGTGCAATTTAAAGTAATATAACTTTGCTAATTGATTGAGTGTAGGAATTTTAAGATCGTTGTGTAGATTATTGTTTTTGAAGCATCATGGAKAAGATGTTATTTTAGTCTTAGGCAGATGGATTGAAAAGCCTGAAGCGTTTTGGGAAGACTATAATTTAGAACTAAAATATACGTTATTTTAAAACTTACTATATTACATATTATATTGTAACAATGTTAKAAATATAAATGCATATAGAAAAATTAATTATTCTATTTAAGTTTTACATTATTATTTTTTATAAATTTGTTTTTCATTTTAACTACTTATTCAAGTTTAATTATATCAATAACTATACTGATAAAAGAAGATAAAATCTTTTTTGTATTATATAATATTCATAAAACACAATATATTTCCTCAATTGTGGCAGAAACTATTATGTTTAAAACTTTTTTGTTGAAAAAAATAGGTACCACATAATATTTATCCTCTATCCCGAGGCTACCCCCTCCCATTTGTTTGTGTATACTGATATTATTGCCTAACTAAGCCAGTAAGCYACGAAGTACAAATTCACAATTCCGGGGCGTATATATCATAATTATACTTTATTCGTCTACCACCTGTACCTTTATTTTATAAATTACACACTAGAGTAAAATTAGCCAGTTTCACGTCACTGCTGTATATTGTTCCTTATTCTTAATATAAATTATTATTTCGTGGTTCATATATTATAATACTTATAGGTTTTTATTTATATGTTACCTGTTATTTTACTTATATGTATAATATTATATTATGAATTATGTATTGATGAAGTACCCCGTAGTCATAGATAAGAAGATAATAATTTAATTACCAGGAGGATTGTAATTTCATTACTGCAAAAAAACGTCACGCCCCAAGTTTATATCTCTTTTTAATTTAAACTCTGACAAATATAACATATTAATTAATTTATCTAATGACTTATATTGGTATTACTGGCGTATTGTTGTAGGTATTAACTGGATAACATTGAGATTTTATCGAAGAAAATGATATACTTGTCAAAATAATAATTGTATTCATTTATTTTTAAAATGTTGACATTATATTATTGTTTTGAAGTATATTATGATACTAACTACTTACCTAAATTTTTATGCAGATGTTGGATACGAGATGAAATCCCCATATCCAAATAGGTACATAAAATATGTCACTAGCTACAGTGGTGTGTTTGCAATTAGTATTCAGTCAGGGTTCTTCACCGTACCCGCCAGAGTGAAATATAATTCTCGATTTATATTTTACTTAATCTCGGTTATTAGGAAGTTATTATTTAAAAGCGTTGCTCATAATATAACGTATCTTTCGAATTGGTTTAATTACGAAGCATTTAAACAACCTTTGTTGATAATTAGTGTTGTGCCATCATTTAAAGTTTAATTATAATTCACTGAATATACACGTAGTAGTGTAGTACTTATATATAGGTACTTACTATGTTTTTCATTACTTATAATTTATAAGCTCGTTATACCTGTTTGCGTCACCACTGTAAAGTTAAATTAGATAATTTTAATCCATCCGTCTATATTATTGTATTTCATTTACAAATATTGTGAATAATTAGCATTTGGCAACAACGTCAGAATGTGCACATTGGTATGTATGTATATTATATTGTTATGATTATTTGAATATTATAATTATGATATTATCAATATTGGTATAAGGACGAAACACGTGGATTTTGCCATTTTGGATTAAAGCTTCTGGCTTTGTTGGTCTTTGGCATATGATGTGAATATATTATAGGAATTATGATAGGTATACCTTCTATACCGCGTATCGGTGAAATGTGATCATATAAAAACATGGATAGGTACACATAAAACCACTATAAGTGTTACAATGATGAATCCGAAGTAAACTCTTAAGATATGGCAATGTGGCATATGTTCAGTAACCAACWCCCCTTCCCCCCACAACCACAAAATATATTTCCAATAGGTCAACTTAAAGACAAAATTCGATAAATATTGCGCCCCGTTAAGAGGATGTGATTATATGCATGCAGCATGTGTTGCCATACAAACGTACAACATAGTCAATTTCCATTAAGCAGAATCAATTTTATGCTGTTAATTATAATATATTATASAGTCGATTTAATTTTTATCGTATAAATAAAGTTAAGATTATATGTATTATTTCGTCAGTTCTTTAATATTTCAATTTTAAAGTGAATTAAAAAACTCTTTGTCTTAAAAATATAATATTTTCTTTAATCATAAGAATTCAAGAGAAAACAATTGCCAGTTACAAAAGAATCAAGAAAAAAGAAATAAATTAATAAAAAAAAGGAATTTTTCACGTAAAACCAGTTTTTGACCAAATCGAATTTCGTATTTTTGGTGTATTTCAAAATTGAAAAACTCTAGACTGTTCTGTAAACATTTTAATTTATATATTTGCATTTTAAAAGCGTTATAAATATTCGAATACATTCGAATATTTTTGTGCTACTTACTCATTTATATTTTTAGACATTTTAAACTTTCTTATTTTATTATTTTGTATGTGTTATATGATTTTTATTTGCGAATTAATGTAATGTAATTGTAATTAGGTTACAAGGTTGCTCATCATATTATTAAGTTGGTCTTCCAACAAGAAAACAAACTCAAAAATAAATAAATATATTTTTTTTATAAATGTTTCAATTTCAAATGTCTACGATATTCGCAAATCCGCCATTTCATTTATTAATTAGGCTAGACAATTTAATTCAAGGTTTATTATATAAATTAAATATATACATATTATATTACATTACATTTCAAATGAAAAATAACAATTACCTAAGTACATTTTGTTGTACTCAGTTTATACAATTTTATTCGAAAGGCCATGACATTTTTCACCTCTACATATATTATTATTTACTTCATATTCACAATTAAATTTAAAAAATATTTAAATTTATTTTAAGTCATTTTTATACGGCAAGTCTATTCATACTATTCTATTGAGTGTACGAATTATTCGTAAAGGCATAACCAATGGGGTAATAATACATTGAAAATGATTTAAGTAAAAAAGGAACAAAATAAATTAAAATAATGAATAATAATATTTGTTATAATAACAGTAACAGAGCTATAATAATACGAATTTATAAGTTGAAATTTAAATATTTAATCCATTTAATAGCTTCAGGGGTTCATTGAAGATATTCTAGAGTTTAACGTTGAATTTTATCTTTGGGTAGACTCGTGTGGTACGCACTATATAATTTGGTTAGGATGACCGCAGCTACTGTAGTTTGACTTATGAACAATGACCCATTCGCGCAGGTATATGCGGTTCCCACATCTCTTACATCTTGTTTGAATCCAGTTAGTTATACTAAATAAAATAATATTAWAATATTTATTTGAAAAAAATKTATAAGAATTTTGTTGATAAAAATTAGTGTGACATTCAACCGACCGTATTAATATTTATATTAACAGAAAAATAAATTACTTATATCAATATAAATAGTGTATAATCTAATAAGTTCTTCCTTAGACATATTGACTGACAAGCTACCTTCGCTCAGCATTATATTTCGTGTACCTACAATAATTAACATTGAATTCAAATTTTAAATTTAATACAATATCGATTATAGCTAGCGATCTTCTTAATGGCGAGATATACTCAACATCTTCTGTATAACAGAGCGAATTTCACCAGTTTATTATATTATAAAAAATGTACCTATTGTGGAATCCGATCTTTGAAAATTATACAAACTATATTTTTCAAATATTTAAAATAGTAAACGTAATATAAATAGTATTTTTTTATTAAAAAATTYGACAAAATAAGAAATGCCCGACATACTTAAGATGTATAAAAAAAGGTTTATCGGCTCAATTTAAACATTATTATAAAAATTTTAAGTTGGTTCAGCTATTGTTATCAACTATTTAACACTGTTCGGGTGTATTAGCGAAAAATAAAACATTTCAATTTGATGTCAAACTTTACCCGAGGAATCAWGATGRCTTTGTAAATCGAACATTTACTATAAAACAGTATTTACGAGTCTCYTTTTTTTCGTTARTAAATTATTGATTAGCTTTGAATGATGTTTTTTCAGTACAACCATGACCCATGGGTGAATGTTTGGGGCGGAGGTTGAAATCTATAATTAATAATCATACAGTAGCATTTGAAAGCAGGGCTTT